ACATTACTGAACGTTTGGATTATTAATTCTCGGATGCTCCCCGGACATCGAAACATTCAGATACACATGGGACACGTTTGTGGGGAAGTAATTGGTGCATCCAAGAGTTAATTGTGAAAGAGAAGGGAAATCTGGACTCGAGAGGACTTCTTTTATTTTCTATTTTCTTTTTTTGTATTGCGTTATAGTTTTAATATACTCTTTGATTTCCGGATTAATTTGACCAGTTTTGATTTAATTGACATAAAGACTGAAATCAAATTGGAGATAAACCTCTGAAAGAAATTTTAAGTTTAAATTTCACAATGTTTATTATTTTATGTCAATTAAACATATAAAATAATAATTATTTTGCATGTTTACAGAAATTCAAATTAAAAGCCTAATATAAAATTTATTTTATGAAATTTTAATATAATATTATATATGATAAACGCGCATTTATATTATTGCAATATGTAGTGTTATATTATAAGTAACAGCTTAGACAACACAAAATCCAATATCTGGATATAAGACGTCTTTTATGCCCGTTTCCGCCAATACAGATTAACTTTAATCTCGGTTCAAGTTACTCTTCATCTTTTTCTAATTCTTAGAATTAGAAAAAGATGAACAGTTAATTGAACCGAGATTAAAATTAAACTACATTGATAAAAATGGGCAGTAGACGTATACAAATAAAAAAATATTAGGAACAGGACAAAAATAAATATTAAATATTAGAAAAATTAAAAATTAATAGAGATTAAACGTAACGCACAATATATATAGTATACAAATACGATACGATTTGTATCCATTGTGCGTTATGTTTAATCTCTATATTCCTAATTTTTTATGTCTCTAATATTTAATATTTAATTCTATTCCTTTATATTTCTTCTATTGTGCGCAGAGCCTCTAAAACGTTTTATATGCCTCGATTTTAGACTTTGTGTTGTCTGGGTTCTCGCAATTTTATTTGTGATTCAACAAAGTATCTGTATATCGTTTGAAAAGTTCGAGATGCGCCATCGAGCGCATGATTCCACCAACGTAACACATTCGAAGCCTTTCTATACGTCATCTGATTTTACGAGATCGAATTAAAACCCGACTGACAGGATCGACATCCGAAGGGTACCGTAATCAATCTCCCGTGAAAGGGATCGTCCTTATTTAACCCTTGTTTGCAACAAAGTCTGAATAAAAAAAAAAACACTAGACACGACAATAATGAGGAACACTTTTATGGGGAACGTGCGCGAAAGCCGCGGTTGCGTATTGTTCACAACGCGTGGAACAGGGAACTACCGCCCGTTCGAACTAGCTCAGCAGCAACGGCTGGCCTAAGCGTAGTACAAATTTTGCAGTGAAGTCTTAATAAAAGAAAAAAATGAAAAAAGAGATACGAGTGGGCCGAGAGAAAGAGAGAGAAAGAGTTTCCGATATATAATTTCACGAGATTCGGATTTCGGCGGCGAGAGACAATCGCGCCGTCGTTTCGCGGAGGAAACGCAGCTGCTGGAGTGGATATGGTGTCGTACACGAACACACGTAGCCTACTCTCGAGACACAACGGGGTGTACAAGCTTCTACGTTTTATATAGTGTTGTAGAGTTGAGTGTTCCATATAAGTGTAAGCTAGTTTTGTAATATCGTAAATATACGTGTACGATAAAGGCGAATCTGCTGGGTCTGACGGAGAGGACGTAACTCTTGTAAATAGGTTTCTTTCCATTACATATGTATAACGAGGCCCGGCTGTACTGATCGATTGTCACCAATTAATCCTGATTAGCGACTTTCTGTACCTCTTTCTGTGACGCAGTCCCAGCTCTCCAGTCACGATTACGTGAGTAGAATTACGGAACTATTAAATGTAAAAGACATATCTTCTTTTTTCTTGAATAAAATTTCATTTCAAATCGCTAATCTAATTTCGAATAGTTAATGTTGCCAATAAAAGATTATAAGATGTATTAACAATACCAATATTAAATTAATAAAAAAATTGTTTATAAAAAATATGCACGAAATATTAATGATTATAGCACTAATTTTGCAATTAGATTGTAATTAAAACTATAAGAAAAAGATACAAAACGTTAGCTCGATTATCGGTACATTCGGGTTTGCCTTACGAAGCTCGAGAGGAATCGCTAGAACTAAAAGAAAAGACGCGGAAATGATGCTACTTAATTTCGTCATTTTACTGTTAACATTAAAGTTTGTATAAAATGGGCTTAAGTCTCGATGACAGTCTCTCTGCTAATTTTCTACACGTGCCGCGTCAGACTCGCATCCAGATGACATAGGTATTATTAGGCATTTATATAGACTTATATATATACATACTTAATGAGACACATAAGTAGACCTGTGTTAAATAATATAGCCCTAGTGTAAAGATGTCTATTATTGCACATTGTGCCAGCCTACGCCAATCGACAATCAGGACATCTTTTCCTCGTTTAATTCGTAAGACGTCATAAGATAAATCGCCAATTCGAACTGAATTGTCAATCGTTCTCTCGCTTCTCTCACCGACTGAAATAACGATCGCTCACATTGTGTTTTTCCAGTACGGTTATGTAGGAAAATAAACGACTAAATCTTCATGAAACTTTATATTTCCGAGATGTTTTGAAAAGATAGAACATGGGTTACACTCTTTTTATAGAAATTATTAATATATATGTGAATAATTTTGTAATTTTAGTTTCTTGAGAACAGATGCGATAAAAAAACTTCAGAAAAGATATCTTGATCGCTGTATCATCGACTGGCGCATTGTGTAAATTAAGAAGAGAATCCTAGAATATGTAAGAAATAGACAGGAATGATTTTAGCTGCTCAGAAACGTAAGATGCTTTAAAGGAAATTTCGCGACTGAAAGTGATATTGCGAGGCAATAATTTCTCCAACATACTCGAGAAGACTGCGGAAGTAGCGCGTGGAACGAATGCGAAACGAAAAATCTGCATTATTTTTGCTGCTGCGAGATTCCTACGGACGTTACTATAATATTACGTTAAGAGAACTACAGATACGTATAAACCTATGTCAGCATATGTAGTTTTTACTTATACTATATTATTCGTACGACTGCATGTTATAGAGGCGGCTGTATATGATATATACATTTATCATAATGTTTGTAATGAAACGCTGAGAAAAGACGCGATTCTGATTTCGCGCGAGTAAATATTGCGAGCAGGAAAAACATGGCTCCATAATTTAGCTCGATATTTTAGCTCGGTTCCGCTTTCTACCGCTGCAATGGAAAATGGCTGCTTTTTGAGACTCAAGAAAATGCAATGTAATATTATATCACGCCGAGTTAATATAAACGTAATCGAGATTTATATGTAAATTTTCGATGTAATCGTAACGTGTGAGATACGACGACACGCCGTTGAGTTTTATTATGAGAAACCGCTGCTTGACTAATTATTTATATAGCCCCATGTATGCGAAATAATAATGTATGTAAAATGATGGTTGCTACTGAAAAAAATATACATATATTTTATTGAGTTGACAATGAACGTATAGTTGCATTTTTTTCGCAGTAATACCTTCTTTTCCTCAAGCATGCAACATTTTGTCATTGACATGTTAATGTTCCTATATTTAAAAAAAATTATTCTTAATATATATCACTGATTCTAATAAATTATCTAATAAATTATTTGGTAACGTCTTATTATACGATACGTATTAAATAATGACATTTTTTAAGCTCAAATCTGTTATATATTTACAATAAATCTATACAATGAAAAGTGTACAAGTGAAGATATAAAAGTAATTCACTTCATACAACAGATAGAGATATGTCCCAAAGACATGAAACAGAAAGAACTTACGATTAACTAAGGGTTGGCAAAGACTAATGTTTTATTTAAAAAGAATAAAACGTAGTGTTTCTTTTTAAACATGTCTTTAATGTTTTGAACATGCTTTAAACAGTATTACAAAAAAAAACATATTTTATACAGTTTAAAACATGTATTTTACCATGATGACTAATTAAACAGTTATGAAGTATTTTTTAGCACACTTATGCAGTAATAATATGACTTTTCTAAATATATGTACACTTATTATATATTATATACCGAAATTGAGTTATTATATCTACACAGAAAAAATGCTACAGTTGGCACAACCGGAAATAATGATAATTTTCGCCTATGAATACATTTGGTTGTGATAAATGTAAGATGGACATATCTTAACAGCTATAACCGTTATGGTTATCATAATCGTACTATAGTTCTTATAACCAAAAAATGTAGAGCAACTTTTGGTTGTGCAGGCAACCGTAACCGTTCTTTCCGTGACATGCGTCGAATCCACAGATACTAGATACTAGTACTAGATCGCTAACTTCTGAATTGATTTAATGGCGGCGTCAATATATGTGTTATATATGTGTACGATGTGTGTAGGTATTATTTATGTGCAAAATGATTGGAGCAACCATTGAATGAACTCAGATATCTGGCCATTTACAGCGTTTTTGTCGAAGTTAGCGATCTAGTAGAGGAAAGCCCCCTATTATGAGATAGGCGCCTAATATGAGATAATAATGGCGTTTCCACTAAAGTAATAAACGCTATCTATTAGTTCCACTACGAATTTATTGCTCTTGGATCGAAAACTATTTAGTTATATTGTAACTGGCTCGTAGCCCTACTTTTATTTATTGATTTACATTGAATAAAGTTTTTTATAATTGCAATACTGATATGCTTTTCGTTTTATTATCAATTTTTCGGGGTGCCTCATATTAAGAGCACAATTTTTTTACTTTGCGATTTGCTCACTTTTTATATTTCTTTAATTTAAAAAAAAATATAATTTGAATTAAATTTTACATAGCATTATCTTAAAGCTTATTAAAAAAATTCTCTTCAAAATGATCTATTATTTTTTTAAATTCTGCCCATAGATTTCTAGCATTTACCCCAAATGAACTTTAATATCTCATAATAGGGGCCTTTCCTCTACTAGTATAGACATCTGTGATCGAATCAATCGAGTTCATTAAAAAACGTCATATATATCACATTTGAAAAATTATAATTCTGATCTCCGATATAACATCACTTATTAAATGATAATAAGCATCAATTTTTTATAAAAGAGATATGTAATCAGTTTTGCTTTATGTCTCTGTTGCTCTGTGAGACGCTAATAACATTATTCTATGACTTAGCTTTACATTGTGATCCTTCAAATATCTTATCAAGTCTGCCTGCTTTTCCAGCAGTTCCTCTAAATTCCTCCCCCTTTGCCGATACCCGATTTCCCCCATTCCGGAGTAGGAATCCTGCGTAAAGGGCGACAGCCATTCGTCGCGAGTGACATCGGATGGTGGACGTAATCGATTAAACTTCATAACTCTCTCTACATAAGAAACAAATATTGGTAGATTGCAATAAGAGATGATGACTTTTGAGAGTTTTAGTATGTTAGTGCAATTAGTGTTATTACTTAAAGTTCACACCATAAATATCTTAATCTTCAAAAAAAACATTTTCCTTCTCTCTAAGAAAAAATCTTGATAAAATTTCAAAATTATATTTAATGATTTTTATATACTTTATATAAATTTTATGTCTGTAATATTACATAAAAGCCCAAGAAAATTATTTTTCTACAAAAACTATTTTTTTCTACCGAGCTAATTAATTCTCTCTAAACACACACTCACACACATTCTATCTTTGCAAGATACTTACTGATATAATTAATGTAAGCCGATAAAATTATCATGAGTTCCAAAGTGGTTAGGAGAAAAATATAGTTAAGCGGTGTGAACCACTCTGACTTCCCGCAATACCGCTCGTAGTCAACTTTATGTGTGTGATGTAGAATCACAGCTAGCAACAAGTAGCATGTATTCCACAACGATGCGATGAAAAGGGGTGTCCTTATAAGTTGATATGTTGATTGATAGAAATCTAGATATCCATTAATACGCAAACTATGGTGTCTTGCTTTGACAACGTGATCTATCGCCATGACTATTAGCCAATAGGCACAGTGAAGGTATAAGTATATAAAATACGTTTCACATTTGTTCTGTTCCTTTGGCCAAATAGACACAAATACAATCCCAGTGATCTCCAGACACACCTATGATACAAAAGTTGCTCCAATGTATCCAGATCGATCTTCAATTATTCTAAAAGTCTAAAAATGTATCACACCAAGCAAGATATACCTACTCCAAGTGAAAGTGGAATCGACACGACCGACACAGTGTTTAATTGCTGAAAATTATCTTCCTCCTGAGAGCTCAAGACTGGTTGAAAGCACTCTTCGTCTTCCATCTTAATGGGCCGATCAAAAGACACTCATAAAGTATCATATATCCTAAACAAATTGCCATAACAATTTAAACCTAGTGTATTTTCTTAAGTATGATTACAGCTAAGATGTGTTAATAAAATACAAACAAAAATTACACACCTAATATCTATTACAAACCATCAACATCTTATAAATGAAAACTCTTCCTTATCCTTGGAATCACATGCTTTCAAACGAAAGTTGAAGGAACCAACTGCATAAGATAGAGACAAGATTACAATAAAGGAGCTTAGTGTCAACTCACAATAATTTCACACTCACTTAACTTCGAGTTTTACAATCTAGTGGTAAAAAATAACACTCAAAGACATTAAGAAAAGAAACTAATTCAAAAGAAACATTACAAAAAACAGCACTTAGACAAGTCGATTCTTTTAGATTTTTCTTATCGATACATTTCTCTGTGCATTATTTGTTTCTCATTAATACGTCTTAGGATGAGTCAAAGTAAAGCTCAAAAAGAAGGGATGATGGATTACAGCTAAGAATATAATCCACGTAATCCACGTCGTATGTATGTACATTAAAAACATGACAGGGACGTTCCCGGCAAAACAACTGTTCGTTGCCAATCGCAATTGACGCAAATACTGTTTCCATACGTGTATCCCAACTACTACATGGAACGCAATGTAAAAAGTCAACTTTAAGCTGACGTGCCGCGTAACACGCGACCTCGCCGTTTTGCGACGTTCGCACAAATGCGCAGCAAATCGCACTGCATGCGCAGCAACGCCAATAAGTCATATATATATATGTATATTGCGCAATGAATATTTTAATGTAACAAGAAAGGAATGAGAAAAATAAAAATTAAATTTCGATCAATTGAAAGAACTCGTTAATAACAACCGTCAGCATACACACATATAAGTAATACAGAAATTAGGAGATTTATGTTACAAGCACCTTCGCGAGCACTTTAAATACTTAAGTACGGATCTGCGGAATCTGTCACATGATCGAGAGTAGGATAAAGTCAGGTTCGAGTTAAAGATTAGGATTTCTAAGGTACTCACGGAAAAAGAGCGGTGCCAGCGGTGGGAAAGATGCAATTGCGTCTCTAGGTTAGAGTTAGGTTAGGTTATGTTTACATCCGCGGCAACAAGCTAGCGGCGTATGATAGCCGAAAGCTCGCGTATCTTATCGATTGTAATATACACGGCACATCCCGGAGTCACTTCAAATACGACTGTGCCACACAATCTTGTCAAACACGTGGAAAAAAACACGATGACATCTCGACTCTTACCGTTCTGTCATATTTCTGTCTGGTCAAATAGCGCCATCAAGTGCCATTGTTGAAAATTTTGATATTTTTTATCACAGCGCGTCCACGTTCCCGCAGCATGAACGTCATTCCTTCGAGCAGTGGTTCTCAACCCGGGACTTGTCGAGTTGTCGGGGCGTATATAATAAAAAAGCAGCTAGTATAAAATCTCAGTGCACTGTGCAATTTTGATGTAAGCTTCCAAAAATTCCATCGTTTGTTTGCATAAAAATACTACTCTTCGTATTTTTATGAAAATAAAAATACAACGATTTTTTTCGTATGCATAGAGAGAAAAATGTTTGGTATTTGTAACTATATAATTATAGTTTTATATATAAATATATATGATTATAGTTACAAATACCAAACATTTTTCTCTCTGTGTGTGCAGCGCATCAAAAATTTTTATCCATATTTCTGCTAAATTTTAGCATAAGAATTTTTTTTAATAATATCCTGGTAAAAAATTTTGCTATGGGGATAAAATTAAAATTTTATTCATTGGTACAAAAAAATTTTACAAAAGAAAGAAGGATATATGGAAATTACATATACATAATTGTTATATACATATTATATATATTATTTATATAAAAAATTTTCACCGAATACGCAAAATGTAGAAAGCGATAGAATTTAAACAGAGAATTAATTTATTATTTATTATTTATAGGCACTCGGTTTTTCCTATCAAAAGTTAAGATATGCTCAAAATAATAAAATAAAATAATGAGATAAATAACAATAAGCTAATGCAATGTAAAATGAGGAAATCCATCGGAACTTAATATTGCTTTCCATTTGATGACACAAGTGTAGTCATTTTGTCCTTGTTGAATGCCAAGAATGATATACGTTTGTGTCGACTTGTGTCATCACATGAAAGGACCCATTAGCATCATCATGGGCGTGCAATATAAGCAGCGTATTAGCATTTCATGAATAGCCAACATTGGTAATGCATTGGCAGACCCATGAATTGCCAATATTGATGATGGCAACACATTGGCATTCAATGAGCAGTCATTATTGGAATTGTAAGCATTTTCATCAATATACAATATTAATAGCGCATTTGTAGTATGATGAAATGTCAATATTGGCAGCGCATTGTCAGCCTCATGAATAATCGATATTGGCAGCGCCTTGGTTTCTCCGTCAATAACTGATATTAGCAGCTCCAAATTATCAATATTGGCATACAATGTAGCATAGTGGCCAATTCTAACTCAGAGATACAGCAGTTAAATACATCGGTTAAATAGTAGCAATCTTGGGGCAAGAAGTCACAAAAATTTTGTAATTTCTTTTTTATATTAAAAAAATCCGGTAAAAACAAAAGAACAATATTCTTTTGTTTTTAACGAGTTTTTTTTAATATAAAAGAAATCACCAAAATTTTTTTCCAAATTAGACAAAAAACGATTATAATAAAAATATGGTACACATATAATAATGGTTTCATAGTTCGTTCATCGCGAATATCGTATTTTCTGTATATATAACCCAGGGTTGTACGCATTTCCTTAAAAAAAGTAATTCATTACCATTATTTTTTGAAAAAAGTAACTCGTTACCGTTACTCGTTACTTGAAAAGTAACGATTCGTTACTTTTTCGTTATTTTTTTTATAATGCTAAAGTAAGTTATTAGATTTTAAAATTACATTACCTGATAATTAATTAAATATTAAATGTGAAATAAATATTCAAATTTGAAACTGTCTACTAACTAGTTCGTATTTTCTCAATATTAAGCTTACCTATGGTTTTACTAATTCTTTATTTTCTTAACTTGCTCTATATACAAACTAGTTAATAGAGAGTTTGAAATTTGAATATTTATTTCACATTTAATATTTAATTAATTATCAGGTAATGTAATTTTAAAATCTAATAACTTACTTTAGCATTATAAAAAAAAGTAACGAAAAAGTAATGAATCGTTTATTTTTCAAGTAACGGTAAAAAGTTACATTTTTCAAAAAGTAACGGTAACGCGTTACTTTTTTAAGGTAACGCGCGTAACCTTGTCATTGATCAGACTGCTCGCGCCGTTGCGAAAATATACACAGGAAGCAGCGAATGATGTTCACGCGGTCGCGGTATAAATCTCGATCGCACATTTCCATTTCTATGATCCAACATGTCATAAAAAAGCCGATAAAATCGCCGGACGTTTATTGATATTCCGAACTAACGAGTTTCATATATTTCATTGGTACAGTTTCTTTCATATTTATTACTTGCCAAGAGATGAAAAAAATCATATAAGCTTCAAATAAAAAACGACAATAAACAAGACGTATTCAAGACATGACACATTATGTCACTACAGTGTGCAATTTTTACGAAAGCAATATTATTGTACCTAAACTTTATCTTATAAAAAATAATTCATTATATTGTTATTTTTTATATTTGGCTATTTCTAGTAAAAAAATTTGTGTATTTATCAAATAACGATTGAAAGAGTTTAAAATTTAGACTACACTGTAATCAGCATAAAAATAAAATATAGTTGAATATTAAGGATGCGTTCCACTTGGCGTTCACACTCGTGAATATCATTGTCCTCGTTTAATATTTGATAAATAATAAGGATGAAATGATTCCAAGAACATTGTGAGCGCCAAGTGGAACGCAGCAATTGTCAGTCATGCAAAGAAATAATTTCAAGTTGCAGGAAAATGGAGTCGCGTGATCGATGTGGCCAAGAAAACAAATAACGATCTAAGCGAAAAAAAAACTCACAACCTACAATCACATATTTTTAGGCCAACGCGAATCTCTCGAAATTCTCAGTTATACTCTATTACGAAACGTAAAAATGCCGAAACGACCAATCTATTTGCAACCAACGGACAATCTTTATCGGAGAACTCGACACGATCTCGAATTTCTCTGCAATTATTGGGACCGATTGCTCACGCCAAATCAAAGCTACGATGTACATCTTCCGGAATTGCTGCGCGCTAATCACTTAATGAGACATCTATCCTCTTTGTCTCTACCGTCAAATCAAGGGTTGCGAGTTAATGTGAGCTTTACCATTCTCGATGATGGCAATCGCTTGGAACCGGAGGAAACTTATCAACTGTAATTCACATTCTTCCTCTCTCTCTCTCTCTCTCTCTCTCTCTCTCTCTCTCTCTCTCTCTCTCTCTCTCTCGGAGACTTGTCTTTTAATAAGAATTACTTTTTCATATTATATCTTGAAAATTATATATCAAATTATTATAAAATGTACTTTACAAGGTATGGGTCTATAGTTCCAAAATACAATAGATGTAAGCCTTAAGTCTTAAGAAATTGATATGTCAATCATACTAATCATATACATTGAAAAAAATATTTCTGTAAAATTACATGATTATGCTGGGTTTTTTTCCGATCCAGAATAATCATGTAATTTTATACAAACATTTTTTTCAGTGTATAGTCGAGTATTAATTCTTCTCACATTTGACTATGATTGATTAATTCCTTAAAGCTTAACATACACCTAGAGGCTTAATTATACCTATTCTATTTTGGGACATAGAAAGCAGTTCCATCTTATTGAGGATTCTTTCCGAATGTACTTTTTGTCCCTCTATAGACATGCAATTTATAGTTTCTTCTCTACCACAATAAAGCTATTATTATATTATTTTTTTCGTTGAAAGTGGAATAAAGAATGTTTTATTATAATGTAACAAATTAATGTAATGCGACAATTTACATTAATTATATTAATTATATTAATCTTAAATAGGGACATCTTTTCACAGAAAAAAAATTTGCAGATTTTAAATAAATATTTATTCTAATATAGTACTAACGAAATATTTACTAAATATATATTTATTCGATTTAAACATAACTGTTTTATTTTGAATAAATATTTATTTACTATAAATAAATATTTCGTTAGTACTATTGGAGTAAACATTTATTTAAAATCTGAAAAATTTTTTTTTCAGTGTCCGTTTATGACTTTCCCTTTAAATTATTATATCAAGCAGTTTAATAATATAAATTATTATTGACGCCAGGGATAACATAACACCTCATTATACACAATCTCGTAACGGATTTCGCCGATCATTGTGCAACAGTAACGCAGCCAGACATAATGTTTTACTTAGAAATTATGTAAGGCAAATCAATGAAAATTATGCAATGATTGAGAGGGAATTGTTGAGGGCTAGAATATTAACACCTCTCATAGAACGCAACAGATTCGCAGGTTATCCGAATGCGTTTTATAACCAGGTTCGATCGTACTTTTATATAATTCGAAATTAAAATTTCTTCTATACAATAAAATCTAGATCATGTCGATGTGTTTATTTCGATTTTCGATATGCAGCGTGCGGCGACGTGTAATTGGAATAAATTTCCTACCGGAAATCGAACATATTCCGAGAGGATTTCTCCAGAGTTACAAGAGCGCCACGTCAATCCGCGGGAAAGAAACAATCGTCAAGCTTGCGCATTACCTGGACACGAATGCTGCGTCGCTGACAGAATGAACATTTACGGTTGCTCACGAAATCAGCAACCGGCAAGACAGAAAGTAAATTCGTCCGAAGTAATAACACGAAACGTTATTATCTTTTAATTAATTATATTCTAAAAATAATAATAGTTGTGTAAAACACTCTCTCTCTCTCTCTCTCTCTCTCTCTCTCTATTGTATATAACGTTTTGAATTTTTACACTGCAAGAAAAAAATTTGTAACTATAATTGGTAAAATAATTATGACGCTTCATTTTTATAGTTGTTACTTCATAATGTTATAGTAATAATGATTATATTTATGTATAGTTTTACATACAAAAAATAAATAATTGACAGGATGATTATAATAAATTTATAGTCATCTTTTCGATGCTAACTACATATATTTTTTTATATGTAGAATTAGAATTATTTTTACTAACATTTTTATAATAATAATAATAACTATAAAAATGAAGCTTTTAATTATAACTATTTTACTACGCAATTATAGTCACAAATACCAAACATTTTTCTCCCAGTGTAATATCTCGTAATTCCATATAATATCGTTCGTTATTGTATTAACGGTCTC